GAAACCAGTGGGCAGGAATTTTTATAAGCATCTCTGGTGAAGACTGCGTGAAAATCTTTTACAGCTTTTATAAGTGCCGATAAAAAGTTTTATAAATTCCTCAATAATAATAAAAAAGGCTTTTAAACATTTTTCTTTAAAAAAAATGAAAAAGTCAGTTCTCTGTATAGTTGGCAGGGAACATCCAGTAAACCGGCCCCCTATGTTCTCCATCAAAATACCACAGGGATAAATAACAATAACCTCAGATTTCTAAAGCATTTTTCATCTCAAAGGGAACTGCATGGATTTACAAAGCAAATGGGCCAAAACCTTAGCTGCCATAAAATGATTTTGCTCCACTGGCTTCAATGGAGGTATCAATGTACTGATTTACACAAGCTGTGTGTGTGCATGTGCCCGCGCAGCATACACGTCCGTGCCTGTGCACCCGGGTGTGGGTGTTCATGTTATCACTGTACTTCCAACTGTGCGTGGAAAGCAGTACACATCAGTAACATTACACAAAAATATAACAATTATTATATTATGCTCTGCTGACTAGGTTAGAAAGTTTAGAGTATCAGGATTGCTGAAGAAAATTAGATAGAGAGAAAAAGCTGCCCACTGTGCAGAGCTCAGGATCTAGCTCCCTTGTTCAGCGCTGTGTGTCCTGTCCCTAAAAATGCCCTTTAAACCAGTTACATGAAAAAAACAAGTATTTGGCAGTGGCATTTTTTGAATGGCTATTTTCAGTGAACGTTGAAGCAGCATTTGTAGATGGAAAACCAACTCTGAGCGGGTCATTTATCCTGCTGGCTTCTGCAGAAGCATGTGCTCCCTTCCGAGCTCCTTAGCCAGTTCTCCAAAGCAAAGTTTAGTAATGCACACAAAACACAATCCTCTGTCCTCTCCTGGACACTAGGAGATGAGCCCCTTCCTCCTCTAGCCCCAGGGCAGCCACCTGACCTCTCTGTGCAGCAACCTGGTCCCTTCACAACTTATTTCTTCCTTCACTTTGCTTTCTCCTTTGGGAACTTGTAAAGCTCCCAGTGGCACGCTTCTTCCGTAGCCAAATGCCCCATAGCTGAGCTCTCTTAACAGGGCTGACTGTTCCTCTTTAAAGGGACAGCCTGCCATGTTACACCAACACACACACACATGCTCTCTCCAAGCCACTCCACACAGTGGACAAACCCATTTCGGCTACACGTGCCCTATGATACCATCTCCGAGAGTGATTCAGAGACACTATGACCAAAAGGGGCCCTTATAAGGACCTTGCCTGATATAGGCCATCGGACTTTCTTGAACATATGCCATTTTGAATGAGAGAAAAGTACCCATGCTTGATTTAAATAAGGAGCAGTTACAGCTCTTTGCATCTCTCAGGCACCAAAAATCTGCCACCATCCAACCCCGAATGCCACTTGTGCAAGCAAATTCCCCATGGCTTCGCCCCTGAGGAACAGCTCTGGTGCAATGGGAAGCCTGCCCCTTTTTCATAGCCTGGGCTGCATTTTCCCTTCCCTAAGAGCCTTTTTGCACCTTGATACACCTCAGTAAGTCTCAGGCTGCCCAGTTCCCAGTCCTGACACACCACGCATGTCTGTGTGGTTGTCATAGGAGCTGGCTCCGCTGACTCTCTGCCAGCTGCGAGACTCTCTCTCTGCTCCTTGGGATTTCTTGACCTGTTACCTCTGGCCAGATTCCAGCTCGTTGTGTGAGAAACTGATCTGTATTAAATAGATAGCCTTTATCCAAGGGTTATTTCATCTGTGCAGGGTGAATGCAGCCAGGGCCAGGTGATGGAGAGCTTATGGTGTTGTCTGCTTTGGCTCCAGAAGCAACCGGAGGGCTGCCCCCAGTCACCCCAACTGTAAATGGGTACCCGGTCATACAAGGTCAAAGATGGATGCATATGACATTATTAGTTATTGCCATAAGCATGCTAGCCTGTTAGACTCAGACCCATCTTCTGGCTTGGAGGTACATATTATTGCTGCAAGAGACGTCAAGGCTAATCCCAAATCCAGGTCCTATAAAATCAAACCACTAGAAAAGGTCTGAAGCAACATTTTTTTTTATGAATCCAAACTTACCATTGGTGGCACCCCTGCTCATGCTCGATTTATCCACGATAGCACCACCACCAGTGAGGTACACCTGTCTACTCCTGAACTACAGCCAGTATACAAGAGTATGAGCAACTTGAACAGGCAAGGTTTTTTGAGTAGATGTGGTTTCTTTCATTAGACCAACCGAGTAGTTGGAAAAAAGTTCTTAGCAAGCTTTTGGGTGCAGTCACCCTTCTTCAGGCATAGGGAGTCTCTGCTGGTCTGAGACGCCAAGTAATGAGAGAAGCTAAAAGTTTGGCAGGATGTCAGTGAGAATGTAAATAGGTAGAATTAGAAAAACAAAAGGTAAAGCAGGGAAGGGAGGGAGGGAGGAAGCAGGGGGTGGGGAAAGGCCAAAGGTGAGCAGGGGAGACACTACAGTGGTGGTTATTCAAGGTAGAAAAGAGTCTGTCTGTGAAAAAGAAAATAGCTGGAAATTAGGAAGACAAATGGCAGACAAGTAGGGGAGGGGATGGAAGAAAAGGTGGGGGGAAATAAAAATGTCAGAGGTCAGGTTTCTCAGGTACCTGGTGAATCAGATGTCAGGCTGGTTGTCAGGTGTCATAAATCCGATGTCTATATTGAGCCATGATTTTTTGTATCCAGTAGATTTCTGAAGTGAAGTTTGTAGGCTTGTCCGCAAAAGGTGTTTTGTAGTTTCCCTCTGAGGATTAGAACCGAGAGATCGGCGAGGGAGTGACTGGCTTGTGAGGAGTGTGCCTCCACAAGTAGTTGAGGATTCTTGTCTTTGATAGATTTTTGGTGTGCATTCATTCTGGTGCACGGTTGTTGTTTGGTTTCTCCTACATATTTTCCATCAGGGTATTTGGTGCACTGGATGAGATATATTACAGTTCTGCAGGTGCAGGTGTAGGATCCAGGAATGATGATGGTTCTGTAGTGGAGTGTAGTTTATTGCAGGGGTTGGTGGAGGTGTGTTGGCAATTTTTGCATTTTTTTTCCTGGCATGGTCTGGATCCATTAGGTGTGGTTTAGGTCAGTGGTCTCAACCTTTTGCAGCTTACTTGTCACCTACGTAAGGTCAAAAAATCCTAGTCCCATTGGTGGATAAGTGGGGGTGGGGAGGTATCCCCAAGAGGACAAAGAGCAGGCGGATGTCCCCCAGCAGCCAATTGAAGTGCACAAAATGAAAACCAGAAGTCCCACCATGGCACTTTCAGTTCTGCCACCACAACCCAAGTCCCACCTAGAGGACCTTCGCATCTCACCGGTTCAGAAACCCTGGTTTAGGTCAAAGAAGTTTGCTTCTGGTGATGAGGTAAACAAAGTTTGGTGCTTCCTTGAAGGCTAGGATGGGTGGTTCTGGAAAGATCTCTTTAAGAATTGGGTCTTCTTCTAGTATGGGTTGCAAGTGTTTGAGGATTTTCCGTGTAGGTTCCAGGGAAGGGTGATATTTCATAACTAAGAGTGTGCAATTTGTGGGGATTTTCATTGGTGTCTCCCCTAGTCACCTTTGGCCTTTTTCCCCTGGCTTTTTTCTCCCGTCCCTTCTCTACTTTACCTTTTGTCTTTCTAATTCTACCTATTTACAGTCTCACTGACATCTTGCCACACTTTTAGCTTCTCTTATTACTTGGAGTCTCAGACCAGCAGAGCCTCCCTATGCCTGAGGAAGGGTGATTGCACCTGAAAGCTTGCTAAGAACTTTTTTCCAACTACTCCCTTCGTCTAATAAAAGATATCACACCTACTCAACAAACTTGTATGCCTATGTCCTTAGACCAACCTGGCTACAACCAAAAACCTGACCAACTAGAATGATTTCTCTTCTCTCTTCCAACTGATACAAGTCAACAAGTACTGGCTGCTGTCACCGTACAAATGAGCCAGTGATGGCAGCATAAGACCCACTGCAAAATAAATGATCTCAACAACAAGACCAATAGGAGGTGTCCAAGTTTTTTCCACTACAGTTTTTCCATAACAACATCATCTCCCTCCTCCTGGGACTAATGAAGGGTACTTATTCATGTCACTTCTCTACTGCTGCAGCAGCACTATACAGCTGCTTCCTATAGGAAACACGGAGTATTTAGCTCCTAGGGGGTTAACTGGGTTGCTTTCTTGTCATCTGGTTCCTTATGCATCCTGTCACACCAAGGCTGGAGGAAGAGCAGACAAGAAAGCCACTGTGCATGCTTGGGCAGCTATTCAACGAATCACAGGGTTAAAGATCCCCAGGAGATCATCTAGTCCAACCCCCCTGATCAAGGCAGGGTCATCTCTAACTAAACCACCCTAGACCAGTGTTTGTCTAGCCTGCTCTTAAAAACATCCAGGATAGAAATCCCACAACCCTTCTGGGCAATCTGTTCCAATGCTTGAGCACCCTCGTAGTGAGCAAGTTCTTTCTAATCTCCAAACTAAATTTCCCTTTGGTGCTATTTAAAAACATTGCTCCTTGTTTTGTTCCCCTACCAGCCACAGAGACTAATCTATGTCCATCCTCCATAACTACCCTACATGTCTTTGAAGACTGTAATCAAATCCCCAGCTCAGTTTCTCTTCTCCAAACTGCAGAATCCCAGTTCTTTCAGTCTTTCATCGTAATTCGTGTTTCCCAGACATCGAGGTTTTTTTTCCCACTTTCCACTGGGCCACACAACTATAGCTTAGTGCAACAGCATACAGATCAGATTCTACAGTGTTTTGATTCGACAGACAATGTTGTTTGGGCAACCAAAACCTTTACAAACCTTTAAAGAGATGCCAGCTCTACCACAGAGAATCTTGGTTAGTGTCATACAGCAATTTAGCCTTTAACAAGCAACACATCCACAGGTGGGAAAACTATAATCCAAATAAGGCCAACGTGCTAGATGTACCCCCAAGTATGCAACGTTAGACCCCAGCACAGCTCCCATATGACCCGCCCATACTTACGTCATTATCTGTGTCTCTATGCCGGGATCCACCAGGGACCCATCCACAAAAAGTGGCGTTGACGTGAAGCTGTACTTACTCCAGGATCTCCCTTCATCGAAACTCACCCTGGGATAAAAGCAGACAAGACAGATAAATAGGAAGGGATCACTTTCAAAGGGCGCTTGTACACATGACGGGGGTTTGGTCCTTAGGGCTGCCGTCTATGCCGCCTAAATTGAAATGGTGGGTTTTTAATTGAAACAGTGGGGTTTTCTTTTTCCATCACTGTTATGGCGAGGGGTCTGATCCTTTTTTTATGGTGAGGGGTCCGATCCTTTTTTTTTCTTTCTGCAGAGCCTGCCTGTGACCAGGGAGTGAGTTGCCAGTGGGCCGAGCAGCCCCTGAGCTGCAGAGGGCCCTGCTCCTTTCTTCCACAGCAGTCACACCCCCGGGGCCACATGGGCAGGCCACTAGTGGGCTGGATGCTGCCCCAGCTCAGATCCACCTGGCCCGATCCAACTCTTCCACGACCCTGAGCTGGGGAAGCACTTAGCCCACTAGTAGTCCACCCTGGCAGCCCCAGGGGGTGCCACCACCGTGGAGGGAAGAACCAGGGCTCCCCACAGCTCAGGGGTCACTCAGTCTGTTGGCTGCTCACCCCCTGGCTGCAGGAGAGGGGGCCAGGCTCCATCAGAAAAAAACAAAAGGATCGAGCCCCTCACTGCTTCTGCCTTCAGCAGGTGCCTGCTGAAGGCAGAAGCAGTGAGATGCCTGACCCTTTTTTCTGCAGAGCCTGCCCACCTCTCCCACACCCAGGGGGTGAGCTGACTAATAGTTGCAATGCATCATGGCAAACTAAACTACATCGGGATGTAGTCTACTTTGCAACAATGCAAACTCATTTAAAATCCCCCAAACTCTTGCACATGTACAGTGTGATGCCATTAAGCCATACAAAGTGACATTTTCATCACATGTACATGGTGATGGTGTCATGTGTACAGGTAACATTTGGCACCATTACTCAGGCAATTACACAATTTTGAAGACCCAGGAGAAATAGCAGCTGGATTTTTAAAGAGGTGGTAATCCTTGATATCACCCCTTCATTAATCCATGCACTCAGAGTGCTGTGAAGAAGTCAAGCGCCTGATGCAATTCTTAAGAATCGAAAAAGGTCCATGTTTCCTAACTCAAACTGGAGCTGAGATGCAAACAGCAGCACCTACAGCACGGCAGGTTCACAGTTGCCATCCTCACTTTGGTGAGAGGTAGTTAAGTGCAGCAGAGAAAAATGCATCGCTTCAGATGTGGCCCAGTGCTTGCAGCAGGGGACAGTGCATCCACCTCAGGCCTGTGGTGACTCGCTTCACCCATCCCTTCCTCTAACCATGGACTTGAATGCTAATCCCCCTCAGGGGGCTCTGTGGGGTTTAGTTCATTACTATTAACTATGTGCTTTCTGAGTGGCAGGTGAAGCATGCTGCACTGAACCGAATTCTGCTCTCAGCTCCCCCCAGGCAGCTCTGCTGACTTCAGCGAGGTTGCATTGGAAGAACAGAGAGCAGAATCTGACCTCTATCCACTGGGAGATGGACTGTGCCCAGTTAACATCAGCAAACAGGCAGTGGATGGTAATCGCATTCAGACACGATGGCTCAGTATCCTAGAACTAATTCCCAGGAGCCAGTGGACCTGGGGTGAAGTTTTGTTTGTTTTAGAAATACTTTGGAAAACTCGAAAGCTTGTTCATGCTCCTGGATTCCTTATCCACTGGTTTCCGCCCGATTCCTCCCACAATTCTGTCTGCAAAGGAAAATAAAGAGGGGAAGGCAAAGATTTCTCGGGTCCAACTTGATTAGGTCCCCTCTCACCAGGACCATTTCAGAGCTCTCTGTAATTAGAGCAGGTGCCTGGGCTGTGAAAGCTGACAGATAACCCTGGACGGGCCTTACTGCAGAAAGGGAGGAGGAACAATTTCTTCCTGTATCAGCAGGAAATGTTTCTCACTTCAAAGCAAGCATATTTTCAAAGAAGGGAAGCTTGGGTGAGGATTGCTCTCCAGTTCTGGCAGGGCCACATCTGCAGCATTTGACATCGGTGCTTCTGCAAAAAGCAGGTGTATTCCCCTGGTCCGTGCGATCAGCGTATCCATCTTCATGTCGGGTCCATCACAGCTGCCATACATAGCAGTGGCAGTAACCTTTAGGGCAGGCAAGCCACCACGTAAGCACTGCACCCTCCCCAAGTGCTACTCCAAGCCGCTTCCCAGGCCTGATCTGATGCTCTGCCTTTGGCTCCCTGCCATATCTGCTGCTATATTCCCTGCTCCTTTCCTGATCTGCTGCATGCCATGCAGAGAGGCTGGGTGACACTTGGGGCACACATGCTGCCTGCTGGCCACCCCCAATTTACAGAGCCTGGCTTTGTAGCCTAATCCACTGAAACTTAAACTTTTAGCAGTGGAGACCTCATGTTCAATCTTCAACAAAAACTGGCAGCTGCCACACAGGTTTCTGGAAAGCGGCAGGATACTTGAGGGGGAAGAGGGGTGGAAAATGTTTTGCATAGGCCGTTCTACTTACAAACCTCCAGAGAAATAGGTTTCCCTCTCCTTTAGGGAAAAGGAACCACAACCCTTCTTATATCTTAGGGCAAGCTGGAGTAGTTGGGTCTGCTAGATGAGTTATTGGAAGGATGTGGGAGACCCTGGACATAAGGCTGATTGAGAATGCCTTATGTCTTTCCATTTGATCCCATGATGCTTACCATGGTGGCCGTGCGTGAGCACGTGCATGGGTGCACTCGGTGCTTCTATACTGGCTTCTGTCCCATCCAGGAGAACACAAAACAACTGCTAACTCTCCCTCAGCCTAAAGAAGGGTGTGTGTACCCGAAAGCTTGCAAAGAACAATTTTTCCAACGATTTAGTTGGTCTAATAAAAGATACCATATCTACTCAAAGAACCCTGTGTGCCTCGGTGCTTCAGGTACTTTGCAGGCTGGTATGTTCGGGTTTTATTTTCCCCTTCATTCTTCATTCCTGAACATCTGTGCCCTGTGGTGGGGGGGGCTCGCATCGCACATGGCCTGCTCCTGCATTTGCTGATGCATTCGGGGGCCTAGGCATCTTCATGTTTTGCCTGCCTGCTTATCTACCTAACTAGCATTTCAATTTCTGGGGAGCAGCATGCTTCATTAGCTTAGTCAAGTTCCCTCAGCTTTTCAATTATCAACCCCTCTTTTCTCCAGGATGAAACTTATTATACAATGTCTCAGCCTGAGAATGAATAGGTATATGTACTCTTTAATCTAGGCAGCCTTTCCTATATAGCAGCCACCTAGCGAAGTAATATGATGCAAATACCAAAGCCCCTGCAGGTGAAATGGGGACAGACCTGTTAGAGTTGACAGCAATGATGACTCTAAATAATTATTTATCGAGGAGAGAGGGCTGCGTGTTCAGTCAGGCGCATGCAGTTGTATCAGGCTAAATGAAACAAGGAAATGCTCGAGAGGAAATTCTCCAAGGCAGGAGAAGGGCAGTTGTCTACCCGCCTACAGTTAGTCATTGTGTACATCCAGGTGTGTTCAACTTAAATACTCTCCCACACATGTACCTACATCCAGATATAAATAGCCTCTCACTTACAGAGTGCAGCCTCACTTGGCCAGTCAATGGGACTGTTTATGGAGGAGGGTGCTGCTGAATCTCAGGGCTAGGCTCGAGTGGAAGGGTACACCGGTAACAGGGCAATTAATGACTAGGAGACAATGATGTAAATGGCCCGTTCATAATTATAGGCCAGCACTGAACCCTGCATAGCAACTGAGCATTTATTGCCAGCTGTAACACCTTCCGTGGGTATGCCTGGAACAGTCTGCAAGGTATAATCATAGAAATCATAGAAAATGAGGGTTGGAAGGGACTTCAGGAGGTCACATCTAGTCCAGCCCCATGCTCAGAGAAGGACCAGCCCCAACTGGATCATCCCAGGCATGGCTTTGTCTATCCTGGTCTTAAAAACCTCCAAGGATGGAGACTCCACCACCTCTCTGGGTAACCTGTTCCAGTGCTTCACCACCTTCCTAGTGAGAAGGTTTTTCCTAATATCCAACCTCAACTTCCCTTTCTGCAGCTTGAGCCCATTGCTCCTTGTTCTGTATCTGCTTCCACTGAGGATAGTCCAGCTCCATCCTCTTTGGACCCCTCTGCAAAGAGCTGAAGGCTGCAATTCAATCCCCCTCAGTCTTCTCTTCTGCAGACTAAATAAGCCCAGTTTCCTCAGGCCTTCCTCTTAAGCCATCCCCCAACCCCCTCACCATTTTTATTGCCCTCCACAGGACTCTCTCCAATTTGCCCACATCCCTTCTGTAATGGGGGCCCAAAACTGGACACAGGACTCCATACATGTGGTGCTCAGGCCTACTGGCTTATAAGAGCTGTTTCCAAATTTGGTCCTTCAAGGCTAAAGGATGAAACCACCCCCCACCCACCCACCCCAGTTATACTTTTTCACCTAAAGGTTGATAATAAGGGCATGTGGGTGTCCTTTTGAGACTGGACAGTAGTCTGGTGGTCCAAACGTTTGTGGGATTTGTGGCTTT